AAAAGGTTATAGTATCTTTTTAAATTAAGTTTTTCATATTTTCAACCTTTGGTAGACTGTTTTTATTTTTTGGTAGGAAAATTAGAGTTTTGATTTATTTTGTCAACCTTTTCATACACTGTTTTTATTTTTCTATTTCAATAACAAGTTACGTTTTCATGTTCATGAGCTAATCTTCTAACAAACACATTATATACTTCAATATTCGTAGATTTTTTTTTTTTTGGGAGAAATATATTCGTAGATTTACTAATTACTATCTAGTGAAGAAGGTTAGGCTTATCGAATATGAAGAAGCTGTTACGATCTACCACCTTTTCTAAGATTTTTATTATATTTTGTTAGTTTCGATTAGATACTAATTATTCTAGGCTATCTAAAATCAACATAAACTAGGCCGAGAATTTCGGCATTAATATAGGTCATAGGCTTACACATGTCATAAAGCTCTTAAGTTGATTCTTAAGTCAAAGATGTCGTTTCTTAGTTCTTTACATTCTTCATTGCATTTACATTACTTATTTTAACAATTTGCTTACTCTTTTGTTATTCCTATGATAGATCTATGAACATCCTAAACGAATTAAACATATCGATATTTGGAATCTCTATCCACCAGGACCCCACCACACTATGACTCGCTCTACATTAACTAATCAACATTTGTTTTTAATTAATGTTGTAACAGTTTGATTTATTCGGGAAAGTTCTGGGCCTCTTATCAGCCCATCCACTGGCTCCAATTGTCTCGGTCCATCATCTAGACATAGTGGATCCAATATTTCCAAACATGGGACGAGTCAATGCCCTAAAACGTCTCATGTCTTCAGCAAGACTCGACTCAGCAAGTCTCACGCAACAATCAATCTGTTACGACACCGCGAATCGATGGACCGTGTCTGTCTCTTGGGGATACACGGTCCAGGTCATTCGCGGCGTGTTATCACCTAGAGTGATGGAGGTCCCTACACGGACTTTTATAGACTGGTACAAACGTGCCGATGACAAAAGCTATGCTTTTAACACACGTCTTATAAGCAAGAATGCATGTCAACGTCCGCGAGTGTATTATCTATCGAATGCGTTACGTGATTCGGCTTTAGGAAGAACTGTTAGTCAGTACGTGAGATGGTACGACGTGTGGGATCCGGAATGTGATTGGAATATGGCAGATCCTTCAGAGATTGAACAAGTTATTGTTTATAAAAGACCTGATCCAGATAGGTGGAATAAGGATAAGGTTAGTCACACTAAATAAATTTGAAAAAAATTATTTCATTTGTTACATTATGTTATTGACATGAACTTGTTTTTTGGTTGGTGTAAATTTCAGGCTCCGAGAAGAGATTGTTGTAGAGTATTGCCTATGAAGAAGAACGGAACGATGGTGATTGATGTTGGAGCTTGTAGAGATGATGAAATCATTGAATTCTCGGTTAAATAGTG